TCTTTTATACTTATACTTACAAGTTTACAAGAAAAAATAGTCGAACGATTAATTTTATTCTGCTCGAACATTACATTAATTAAATAAAGAAATTACACTAAAATAATTATTTTGGTCAAAATATATTGCATTGGACTAGGAGTGGCGGTGATACCCGCACATGTCGCTAGATGGCGCTGACTGTATTGTAAAACGCGCTTACGTTTTGTTTTTCCGATAAGCTTATATGGCGAAGTGACAACAGTCGCTTTACAGCAATAATATAATCCTCTACTGCCTTTGATGACGTTTGTTAGCGATTAGGAGGGATTATTTGCATTTCGTTGATTTCCCTTATTATATTTATTTCTGTTTTGATGTCCATATAGTAAAGGTCGTTGAGTTAATTTGTGTTCGATTTCGCAAGATAATATCGTAAAATGTCGATAATATTAAAAAACGACGATGAACTTAGTGGCTACTACCGGTGGGTCGTTCTCAAATTTTCTGACAATGAAACGCAACCGTTTCTCTTAAACGAAAACTAGTCCTCGAAACGGTTCGCGTTCGCAGCTGGTATTGGTTGCGGCTGGGCGACGCAACGAAATGACACGCGACGGTCGAACGAATGTAACGCAACGAAACTGAACTAAATGAAATCTTGTTTGCGTTCGTTTCGTTGCTGCGAACGAGACGACGAAACATCGAAATAAATGTATTGTTATACGATAATCGACTTTAAGTGTTCAATAATAAAGATTATATTATTGTAAAATCAAACCTCAATTATCATAGAACGAAACGGCCTCATATCATTGCGTTCTATTATAGACTGTATTTACTTCACCATAAAGAACATATTGGCGTGCAGACAATCCGAGGACTAGTTGTTCGACAAAGACTGTTTTGAACCGAAACGTAAAACGGTTCTATCGTCGCGGAACACAAAACGGTCCTTGAAACCGGTTCGTCTTTAGAACGCTCACACCTAGTGGCTACCAAATAGTTGGTATGCCCAAAGACGGGTCTTGTCTCTTCCATTCAATATCTTTCTTGGTGTATGGTAGAATATTTTTCTTGGTGTATGGTAGAACTGACTCAAACAATTCACAAGAGCCGAGGTCTAAGTCTAAAAAATGCCCTCATGGACATTGGCACCTCCATATTCTCTTGTGGCCAAGCCTACGTGGCGCTTTCACGAGTAACCAATCTCCATGGGGTGCACCTCATAAATGTTGACTTCAAGACTATTAAAGCTCAAGCTTCTGCGATCACCGAGTACAACCGGCTTAGACGTAAATACCGCGCCGATCTTTTAGAAATAAAACCGTGTAAACCATCTAAAAGAATAAATAATGAACGCGAATGGGCAATACGAAAAACTGTTGCTACTGTACAAGAATCAGAACCGGAAAAAAGAAAAGAAAGATTTGTAATAATAAAAAAACTACTCCTAAAAAGAAAAAAAAATGTGTTAAATAAGAAAATCTAATAAAATAAAACAATATGCCCACGTTTCTACAAAAAGAAGTGAAATCCCACCAAAAACATTCTGTAAAAAACTAGCCAAGTCTCGATGGAGCTGCTTGTTTATCTCTAAAATGTAATGAAATCTAGACAAAGTCGTGCCAAGTCTAAGGTTCCTTACTGCAATATCTTTATTATTATAGTCAATGTTTTGTGACTTGGCCGTTGAAAGGTAAACAAAAAAGGTAAACAAGGGTACAAAACCAGGTGCTACATGACACCATTGCACCAATCTGTCGCCAGAACCGCTACCCATTGACGATGGAAAATTGCCACTTGGAAAACGTTGATTGAATAACCAGTCAATTGTAGGCTTGATAAAGTTGCGTACCCTTCAAAGAGCAGATAAACAAGCAGCTCCATCGAGACTTGGCTAGTTTTTTACAGAATGTTTTTGGTGGGATTTATTATTACATTTTTCTTTATTTAAATACATTTTGTCCAAATGACATAGGCTATATTTTAAAATAAATTTGCCCGTACAATGCCCGGGTGGATCACTACTAAGTATAATATAATATTATACGAAAGTGAGTTTGTTTGTTGCGCTTCCGCCCTAATAGCTAAATCGATTATAATGAATTCCCCTATAGAAGTAGATGGGAACTTGGTTCTTAGCTACAACATCGCAATACTTATAGGCGTAGGGTGATGAAAGGGGTGATTTACCTATAAAAATCTATATTATTTACTTTGAATTTTGCAGAATCATCGTTTATAATTACCAAACCAATATTATCGCGAGCTGATTAATAAATACAAGGATTCCAATAAGTAAGTACCTGTACCTAGCGAAAAATGGGTTATTTGTCATTATATTAAATTAAGTAAACCTTTTTTGTAACATTAAGTAATTTTGGTTAAAAAAAATTAAAAACAGTATAATTCTGAGTTTTTTATTAATATTCAATAATCATAAATACTTATGATAATTTATTTTTCATCATTTAATAAGAAGGAACTGTATCAGAGTTTTAATGTAAGTACTTTGTATATTTTTTCTTTTTCGCCTAGGTTTTATCCACGTTTATAAACACCTAAATGAAATTTCTTCTCGTAGTATTCCTGCAGAGTACACCGCGCTATCACTTTGTCATCGTTGTAAAATTTTAAATATTTGTCGAAATGACATAGTGTAAAAGGCAAAGTTTAACGTCTTTCAATTTCAAAAGCGATAAAAGTATTTAGTTTCATACAAAACTATTTTTTTAATCCAAAATGTGCATTTTGGAAATGGATATCAAATAATATTTTATTTTTGATTCATTGTTTTAGCGATAATGGCTTACACATTAAAAATAGATATATTCTGTCGCAGACTCTTTTGTAGAACTATTTAAGAGATACATTTTCACGATACATTATATTCACGAAACTTTTACTGTTTTTGCAGTGCAGGCTGAAATGGCTCGCAGATGGGAGGTTTTTTCCGCCTTACGTGACACTTATTGTCATATTTTGGCCTATTCACTCAAAAGCTACAAAAATTATAATCTATGTGTTATTATTATGTATGAGCTATATTGTTGTTAAGTTGCATTAAAATCCATTCAGTATTTTTTGGGTGAAAGAGTAACAAAGATCCACTATACAAACGTAAGATTGAAATTCAAAGCGTAAGTCCCTAATATGCAACTTTAAATCGTTGTAGATCCTAAACAATCAAATAAAATGAAAAATGGTGTTAGGAACCTAAACATGATTTTCGATTATCTACCCCCACTCGACATATTTTGTCAACTCATATTTTTTTTTCGTCACAATATGGCGCCTAATTTTGTCCATATTGAATTTTGATTACTATCATACCTTTAGTAGCACTCCCATGATTGAGACGAATCGATTGATGTATGAATCATCAAAATCGGTCCAGGCGTTTGGTCTCTAGTGTGCCACAAAGGAACAAACATACATATATAGACTGTTAGGGTGCGGCCAGAGTGCACTCAGATTCAGATTCAGATTCAGATTCTGAAAACAAGCGCGAGAAATAAACAGTGTAGTCTAAGCAGGTTGCCTGCTTTTTCTCGCGCTTTGTTTTCTGAGTCTGAATCTGAATCTGAATCAGGAGTGCACTCTGGCCGTACCCTTCGACTACACTGTTTATTTCTCGCGCTTGTTTTCAGAATCTGAATCTGAATCTGAATCTGAGTGCACTCTGGCCGCACCCTTAAACACTATACCCTGTCTGCGCGTCGCGCTTCGCACTCTTGCATTGCGCAGTCGGGTAAAAAGGAAATAATATCATGTAAAAAAATATATACATATTTTGCTTTAAAATAACACAATAAAAAATCTGTAAGTATAAGTCCAAAGGCACTTATTAGATTAGATTCTATAAAAAACGAGTTCTAATATTACAAAAGAACTTGTAAACATATTAAGAGACGGTTTCGTATAAAGTCCAATCATAAATCTCTACTAAGGCGTAAGATGCAGCAGTGTCTTGTTTCAAGTAAAAATAGGTCGTATGTCAGCAGATGAAGTACTTCAACGAGAGGTTAAAGATAAATAACCGCTTTCTACAAAGCCTGTCCTAGTATCATGTTATTTCATTGTTTGAATACAAATACGAGAATTTCTTATTTTGGACCTACTTACTTTTTCTATTCCTTCGTTTTCATGCCTGCCATTTATTTCATAATTGGTGAATAATTCATTACTATTTTAAATAGTAATAAAGATATCGTTATTTTAAAATTCAATTTCTTTTTGGAATGGACGTATTTGAATGACAAAAATGTTTTTTATACATACTTACGTATTTCGAAGATCGTCTGAGAGCATTTACAACATTTATTTGTAGTTGCTCTCAGGAAGATCGCATGTTTAATCTAGGTATTACTAATTATAGGTAACTAAAGTTTCTATTTCTATAGGACTTTTCGTTACTTTGCTTAACTATTGATGCTTTTTATTTATCACACATTATATAATAAATTAACGAAATATGTATATATAAAATAAAAATTCAAATTAAAGCAATAATATCTTTCTAGATTGAGGAGTTCAATAGCGCAGATAGTATGCGCGTTCGCGAAAAAACTATGCAACTTTCGCAATAGTCGGTCATTGGATGGGTGACCAAAAACTTATTGTCTCGAGATACTCTCTGCTTAGGGTGGCCCGATAGGCCGTTGTCCCATCTGCCCCCCTAGCATGAGTAACAAAACGTGATATGATAAAGCGATTTATCGACATTAACTGTCAAACTACAATGGAGTTTGACAGTTGAGTGTCGATAAATCGCTTTATCATATCGCGTTTTGTTAGTCATGCTAGGGGGGCTGCAGTCGTTAGCACCTACCAATCCACACTGAGCCCGCGTGTTAAACACACACGACCCAATCTCCCTATTCCATGCATAGGGAAGGCCCAGCAGTGGGGACATTGATTAAAATAATATTTCTTTTATTGTTTAGTTCATTTCAGTTTAAAATGATCTTTTGAAAGACAATGACTATAAAAACTAAGCTATCGTAAATGAAGCTTACCAGCTCGTACGTTGACATCTCTAGAGTGAATAGTACCGACGGGGTTTCGAGCCAAACAAGCGTAAACCTGAGCATGTACTTCCTGTCGATAATCTTCCGCTCGGAATGGAGGAAACACTAGATTTCCATTCGGTAACACCTGTAAATAAAATCATTAAAATTGTTAGGTCATAACGCATTCTTAGCACGAAACTGACCTAACTAAACAGTTTCATGATTCTGATTACTGATGATTGCTGACAACCCTAAGAAGAAAAAAGAAGAAACAGAGTAAATTTTTGACTTAGGTCAATTTCATTCTGAGGGTGTGAAAGTACTTATGGTATTATTATCTCATCATATTAACTGTTCATTACGTTATAAGTTATAAAGAGTAAAGTACATTCGAAAGTCACTTAGCTAATATAACGAAAATACCATATTTCCTGTATCTAGAGTACCTACGATTTTAATTTCCGTGAAATAAAAAGAATAACATAACTACCTAATATTGTGGCAGCGACAGCTGATAAGTTTCTTATCAACAGTAAGGTATTGGAAATTTTGTAACCTTAGAGATGCACAAGCTGGCAACCTCTCACAATTGATCATTCATAAAAAAGTTATAAACCGACGAAAAAACCGGAGAAGGTTCTCAAGTCGACGCGTATAATACCTATTTCTTTTATGTATAGTCCGATTTTGATCATTTTTTTTTGGAAAGGTGATACCTCAAAGTCGATCTCACATAAATTTGGAAAAAAAACTAGCTAAGGGTGGGAAAACAGATTTTGATGCCCAGTTGTATATTACAAAAATTATAGCCAGAAAAAAAATAAAATCAAAAACTTTTCAAGTAACAATTAAACCACCAAAAAGTAAAAAAAATATTTAAATGGTGAAAAAATAAAAAAAATGTAATAAACCTTTTTTATCGTTAGTCAAATAAATATTTGGAGTCGGTGCCATGCAGGTCTGATAGATCTGAGTTCCCATTTAATACTTGGATAGGCCTGGCACCGACACCGACGACAAAATGTAATAGGTTTTTTTACTTTTCGGCGGTTAAATGTTTTTGTTAGAAAGTTTTTGTAATATAAGATTCAAACCAACCAAAATCAAATGTACCTCCACTGATGTGCAGTCAAAAAGTATTATTTATGTTATGTATACTTCATCAGTCTTCTCATGCCCTGTTTGAACTATAGTAAGCGTTAAGTGTGAATGTTAAGCATAAGATACTTTAAACAGTTCAGAATGTTATTGTTTTAAGAACATAACACTGACTGCTAGATTGTTGATCGAAGTTGCAAGGGTTTAGGTAGTTAGGTAGGTAAAATTTTGATACGGTCAACCATGGTATCCTCTTTTAGTTTTATAAGTGAGTAATTGCTAGATTTGTTCAGATCATACTGACGGGGAATACTACGAAAAGTATTTGTAAATGGGTAGTACCCATTCAAATTAGGAGTCCCCCAAGGTTTACTTTAATCACTCGTTCTAATTTTTACTTATACTACCATTCCAGCAAAAAAATATTTTTTCATTACATTAGCTCAAAAAATGCATTTACGGAGATTGTATACATTTTTAGAAAGTTGAAAATTACGGGCCATACAACGAAGCGTGCGGTTAAGCATTTTACCGCACTCTCCCACACAAACGGCGTATGATTTACGGTTTTTTAAAATTTAGATCAGACCTCTGAAACCGCTAATAACCTATACCTTTTTATCGTTTTAATACTAAAAAGAAAAAGAGATGAAAGATGTAGTTCTAATTTTTACCACCTGCAGGTGGCGCTATTTGGATATACCCACCATTTTCTTATTCGAAAAAGTTTGCTTGATTATTTAAGTTAGGTAGGTGCAATGTTTTCTCGCATATGTGCTGAAAAACGTTGTATGACATTCGTGCGGAATGTTATTTACAAACTCGTGAGCGTGACTATGGTAAACCCTCGACTTGGTCTCGGGCTTACATTCGTCTACTCGTTTGTAACAACCAACTTACCGCACTAATATAATAAATAACTATATAATTATTTACAGACTCATGCATGCATGAGGCGTGAATTTATTATAGGGAAACCTATTATAGAAGTCCACACCACCTGACGGTAAAGTACAACTTGACACACCAGCTGTGTGATTGATCCCTTTTGGATAATGCATTGTCCGTAACAACATCACGCACTGCAAGCTATTTGCAAAAAAACTGCCTGTAACATGCGATGCTGCATGATGCATTCGACCTTCTTGAGTGGTTAGACAGGGAAAATTAGATCCCTGACTTTTCGGTATTGTCAGCTTAAAGTGTATTTTTGCCCTTTGGACCTCTAGCAACCTCAACTACCTTACCCGTGGGTACAGTCTTAAGGGGCCATCAGATAATTAATTTCGTTTATTACATTATATCCTACCAATAGCCAACTGTTTAGACGACTTATTCTATTTTTTTGGATTCACTTTAAGACGTCGAAGACTTTAAATTAGTTATATCTGTATCTCTGACCATTGCCTGGGTTGATTCTTGTTCTTTTATTGGCTAAAACAAAAGAATTACATACTTGTCTCAATCCGGGGACATCTCCGATAGCAGTTCCATCGGATCGCACCCAGATAACGTCGGGCACGGGGGAGCCTCTCGCCGCGCATTCCACAACAGCACCTGTCGTATTGCTGAAGTCCACTCGATTTGGGGGTTCCTTTATGAATATCGGGCCTATAGTTTCGTCCTCGCATGACACTGATCCTGGAACAAAAAAGGAATATGTAAACAAATTTGTTCTGGTTAGAATTCTAATGTGGTGTCTTTGAAGTGGTTAAAAGACAGAGAGATTCACACAAATTGTGTAGTATATGTAACTGACTCTTGGGCTAAGATAGTGGGTAGTGTGCCGTTCCCTAGAATATTTAAATATTTACCGAATTATTTTTTTAGGATCAACATGATAACCATCAGTTCATTTGACAAGAACACCCTTTACCTTAGACTAAAAAATACAACCTACTTTACTAAAATTACCTTTTAATTCGAAAATAGACAGCCTCGGACATTAATCTTAGCTGGAATACAGTAAGTTTTCATTCAAACAAACATAACATGAAAAAGTACAAACAATGCTGGAGCACGAGTCAAGCATACGTAAGCAAGTAAGTTTTCTTTGGTCACGGGAACTCGACCTACTTAGTAATAGATGGAGCCCTGTATTATGAACTTTTAACGCCATCCAAGTTTGAATGTTAGAGCAAGACATCACATACACACAGAAGTGCATCATCCTGCTTCGATGCATCCGCTGTTTTTGCCTGGCGTTAAACCCCTTTTTCCTAGTTTATTTATTTATTTATAGGTACATCAACAGTATAACATACAAGACATTCATTCATAGAGGAGTGACAACGTTCGCCAAGGATATTGTATTCAAGTTTGTCTCTGGGGTTATTGAACTTGGTGTATCTCTTACGAAGTTAATGTTTTCGCTCAGAAAGCATTTAAGTGTTTTGTTAAACCAAGGAGAATAATTTAAAGGTTTTACAACGTATTTGGATACATGATTGACAATTTCAAGTTTCAAGTTTCTAAAAAATTCACCTACCTAAGTATTCGTTAACATCTCCACAACATTTAAAATATCATCCCAATCAGCACAACTCAGCTTAGTATTCAGCAACTCGTAGTCTGCCATATTAAAATAATGCCTCTCATTGGGGTTAGTTTAGTAGTAGCTAGTTGGCGAGACTGCGACGCAGCTGACACATTTTTACTCATTAATGAGTTCCCTCCATTCTCTAGAAATGAGCGAGCTCATTTTTACTGTTTTTGCCCAGTTTGTCATTTTAGCTGTACTCTTTGTTGGTGGAAACTGAAGTATGCATTTTTGTATTGCGAGGTAAAGAAAAAAAGAGGTAAACGGAGTCATTAATGGGCTCGTTCAGCTCGCGGTGGAAAACCCCTGGTATGATTACCTTGAACACAAGTGTGCGCCCCATCATTATAAATATAAATAAGGCAAGACAAAGCAACTTCTAATGTCACATTCAAAGAAGATTGATACGAGAACAGTTATATTTAGGTAGTGCATTATTATCATGTTTACTTAATTCAAGGGGGAGCCCAATAAGAAATCTCAACTCAAGTTCATAAGTAACGTTAAAATACACAACTGATCAAATAATTGCCAATTACTTACGCCAACTAAATTATAAACAAGAATAACATCTTATTAAGTACTTTGCTAATCAGGTATTTTAAAACTTCAAACAGGGGGTTATCAATTCAACTGAATTACAGAAACAACATTTGCATTTTATTTGGGTATGCGATTCTTGAAAATTCAAATCTCATAATCAACAAAGTGATTTTGGTGTCAGTAGTGTACCAACACAACCTATCTAAACGGCAACTTGAACTAGGTATTTGACAGACATAGCACCAACTCTAAATGGCGAAAATTTTACTTTAAATAATATAAGCACTATAAATCAAGTTAAGGAAATGTATTTTTAATTGTATTGGTTTACTTTTTGTAAATTTGGTTGCAAAAATAAAAACCAAATTTACAAAAAAAAATGGTTTTTATTTTTGCGTATTGACAGCAACAAAACATGCACCAAGTTTCATGTATATCTTTTAAATTATTTTAATCAATTAAGCTCGCTTATCTAGGCTAAATGTGTTTATCCGGCATATACGAAGATCGTCTGCAGCTGTGAGATATGGAGCATTCCTAACACTGTTAATTACTATTACCAATTAACGATCCCTATATATAGAGTCACGCTGTTGAGGTTTTTTATACTTCTATCATTTGAATCTTTGCTTCCCTTAGGAATTTATTACATGACAGTCAAAAAATAAAATTTAATTCTTTCAGATTTTATGTATGTTTTTTTAATTCCTGTGTTGTTTTTCATTTCCTTTTAGCTACTTAATATCTTGGATGTACGTATAGTATGTCGCTGGTATCCGCATAACATCGCGTATGGCAATGGCTATGCTATCTTTTATGTTTATAAACTTAAAAGTTTTTAAATATTAATGAGCGCACTAGATTATTTTACTAAATGTAACTATTTTTTAGATAAGTAACTTTCAATATATACCTACGTGGTATCCTTTGTAAAAACAAATGTCTTTATACATATTTGCTTTTCAATAAATCATCATACCGAGCCACCTTATGAAAAAAGTAATAATAATTGAACGAAAAATTTAAAAAGATCCCCCTGTGCTTGAGCCGGTGCTCTCGAAACCGAAGACAAAAAATATAATAACAACAAAAGTGAACAAAAACGCGTTACTAGCGTGTTGGTTTGCGACAGATGTGCGCCCGCGCACGCACGTGATTGGCCGAAACGTCGACAGATGGTGCGCGAGAATACGATTCTCTACGGTACCTGCAACGTCTGTCTGGTACTTTGGTCTGATGCATAAAAGTAAATAGATTGAGAATCGGAAAGTAGTAAAATGTTGCAATGTCATAGTATCTATTTTTAGAATATAGACTACTATAGACCACAAATCAAAATAAAAAAAAAAATTGTACATTTTGTTCACGCTCCTTTTTTTAAGCAAGATTGCTTTGATATAATCAAAGCAAGAAGATTATAATTTAAGAACTAAAAACTATGTACAAGTATATCAGTTAAATGCCTAATGGGTTAAAATTTGGGAAATAAAGCTCTTACCTCAACTCAAAATGGGATAAGTAAAACCTGTTTAAGAAATAATTGTCTCTTTATAAGTACTTTTGTTTGTTGTCTCTCCAGCTCACTGAACTATCTCTAGCTAGATGTAAAAAAGATTATAATTTATTTGTATGTGTGTACATCAGATACATTATCATGGGGTTTGCAAAGAAAAAGCAAGTTGGGAACAAAATTTAATAAAACTTTACTTACAACTACCTATACTATGAGTCGTAGGTGTAGGTAAGTTTTCTTAAAAATCAAAAAAAAAATATCGTAAGAATGAATTTTCTACTTATTTCAAAACATAAAAAAATGGATGACATTGATAAAATCGTTCTTCAGTAAGGGCGTGACTAAAGGAAATGGGGATTCACTTATTATATAGATATAGATGTAATTAAGGTACATTTACTATTATTGATTAACTAATTCATCCCTATTTACGTAACAAATTGGTGATTAAAAGTCAGACTCTGCTCAGAGTTTATCTCTCTCCCTCATGGATTGCTAAAAGTTAGTCTCTCTGTGTCGTGAGGTAACTATTGACATTAAAAATAAATAGGTAAAGGTAAATTATCTTAAAGATCACGGAATGCATAAACAGTTTTTTTTTATTTATACCATACCGTGCTAAGCGCGTTCTCATTTCCAAACGCTTCTATTCTAGATTTGCATTCGCGTGTCGTTTAGCCGACTAAAGACAAAAGTGGCTGCAAATTAGTAACAATTCGTGCTGAATATATCGCCATTGAGTTCGTCTGCATTGCCTACAAGTACTTCCGCATTGACAAACGGTGAATAATAATTATTCGCATTGCTATGACTGAAGTACTTTGCTCTAGAACATAACACTGTAGATAGAAAATTTACCTACTTACAACTTTGAATTCACTTTGAATTGCTACTTGGACTATACAAAAACAATGGTGACATCATTTGCTATGCGCCAAGCCAAAGATAGAGTTAATTATTACTACACAATGGACGTGTTAAATGGATGAATTAAACGTTAATCTTCCATGGAAAAGTTTAGCACGCTTTCCGAACAGCGCAAGTTGCCTTGTTATATTCACGCCTGTTTGTCAAACTTTGCCTATAATAACAATGTTTAAAGTATCTAACCACGCTGAGGTACCTACCTAACAACTCTGAGCTTAGCTTAGAATAGCAAACATACATGGGGGTTGGTGGGTTATTGTTTCGGTTTACAATCACACATACCCGCCTACCGCCTGGGTGAATACTAAATACATTTCATATTTTCAGGCAATGTTAATTCATACACTTTGTCCCAATGTTTTATAGACTTAGGTAGTAATACAAACAATTTGTTTTTTAGAGGTACTATATAAATCAAACAAATTAACAGACCACACCCTGCTCATTTCAGTCGTCTTGTGTCGCTTGGAGTTAGGCTATTGACTATTCATAAGGTCACTAAGTAAGTTTAAATGATTTCACTGTTGTCATAAGCCTCACTCAAGCTCGCTTTAACTACCTACCTCTTTTCAAAATCTTTATATATATAATTCTTCTGTGAGTGTGTATGTCACGGAACTTCTCTTAAACGACTGGACCGATTTTGATGAAATTTTTTGTGTGTGTTCAAGGGGATCTGAGAATGGTTTAGATTCACAATTTTGTCCGCTGGACAACCCCTATTTTTTTAAGGCGGTACGAAGTTCGCTGGGTCAGCTAGTATGTATATATAATGCCCACCTCATTTTTTTTATTTTTATTTGACATCGTTTTGTTGACTATGTTAATAGCTACCATACTGTGCTAGGTGAGAAGTATTTTCAAAATCTCACGAGAATGAGGTATTTTTATTCCAGAACTAGCTGTACCCCGCGGTGTTACCCGCGGTTTATTTGGGATTTTTCCCGCAGTTAAACGTAGCCTACGTGTCAAAACAGGGTGTCAGCTAACTCCATACCAAAGTTTATTATAATCGCTTCAGCCGTTTAGACGTGAAGAAGTAACAAACATACACACTCACAAACTTTCGTCTTTATAATATTAGTGGATGGACTGGAATTAAAAGACAATCTATGCGCA